TATTAATGATACTGGTCTATAATTGGAAGTATTTCTTTTATCGCCCTTTTTGTGTAGATGCTTAATTAAACCCGTTTTTAGAGGTCCTGGAAATTGACCCTTTAGAAATATTTCATTTACTAAATGAGTAAGAGGTTTCTTTATAAATTCCTTAATAAGTAATAAGTGTTCACTAGTTATTCCGTCTATTCCTGGTGCTTTTTTAGGTTTTAGATCTCTTATGGCATTTTCTATTTCCTCTTCACAAGTTGGTAGAAAAAAAGCAGATTGGCAACTATATTTTCGATTCCATGTCATTTTTGGTTTTATAATTTTTTCTGCCAAGGTTTTACCTACATTGGAAAAATACTCATTGAAATAGTTTGCTACATCTTTTTGTTCAGTTAGTTTAACATTGTTTTTATCTATTTCAATTTTATTATTTTGTTCAGGTTGTTTTCCAACGAAGGTATTTACGGTTTTCCATAGAGTTTTACTATCTTTACTGTCTCCAATTCTATCAATAAAATAATCTTCTTTAGTTTTTTTTATAAGTTTATTAAATTTGTTTTTATATCTGTTATATTCTAGTTTTTTTGCCTCATTTTCTGGATCCTTTTTTTGAACAAGATATAAAGTTTCTTTGTGCTTTGCCGATTTCATCAGACCTTGTGTAATCCACGTTTGCCTTTTTTTGAATTTATTAAAATAATTCATTTGGATAGTTCCAGTTGTTATTGAGTCATTTATTTTGTTTATTAGTATGTCTGTTTTTTCATCAATGTTTTCAGTTTTGTAAAAATTGTCCCAGTTTTCGTTTTTAATAGAATTTAAAAATTTATTTTCATCTAATTTTGTATTTTTCTTTGTTTCAGATGAAAGTAAGCAGGTTTGTTCCAATTCGTTTATTAATATTATGGGAAAGTGATCTGTAGTATCGTCCCTAAGAATAAACGTTTGATGTTTTACATTTTGTGGCCCGTTATATAAAAAATGATCAACGCAAGATTTTGATCCCTGTTGAATACGTGTATACTTATTTACTAATATTTTGTAGCCGTTTTCAGCTAATAAATTTAGACTGTTTTTTATTTGATTTAGTATCTATATTTATATCTCCCACGAGGTAATAATGATTTACGTTAAGCATTTTTTCACAATTCTATACTCGAATGAAATTATTTATTCTCAGATTAATTATTATAACTCTTAAAATACAAGATTATGCCTATACTTCACTATCTATTTTCTTATTGTATGGAGAAATATTATTTAAAGCAAACTCTAAACTCTGCTTTATTTCAAACAAATGTAATCTTCCAAGTGTAAAGCTTTTCTTGAATGTAGATCATAATTTTTTTCTGTGAAATAAATTAAATAGTGTTCATTCTGAAAACAACATTAGAAATATTAAACAATTTAAAAAAAAAACACAAACTTGTGTAAAATTAAATTTTGGTAGTTTTTAAACAGCAGACGGATTAGGACTGTACTGTAAATATTATTATATTACATTTATTTAAAATAAAAATAATTTGAAACAACTTCATATACATAGGTACCTACCAGGTTTTGCGCTCAATCGGCAATTGCCCGATTGAAGACTTGTTTTGTTTAAAGAACCCGAGTTGCAATAAACTTTGCCTATAGGTGACTCAAATCTATTTTACAGATTCCTTTATTATTGGAAAAATAAAAAATATTTCAAATTTTTTTCATACTTTAATGAAAATATAATGGATATTTTTCTTTGTTGGTGAATATCAAATTGTGTTACACTTCCTAACAGCTCGAATAAATATTGTATAATTTAAATATAAGCTTATAAATAATGGCGCCCAACGTGAGGCGAGAATGTGCAAAGTATATCTAATCTAGGAATAAAAGAATAGTCATGTCCTTTAATTGTAGATGTAGGGAGTAAAAACGAGTACAAACAAGTGTGATCTATAAGATACACCTAACGTGTTATTTGCACTGTATTGCCCGAGTCATTAATTAGGATAATAATAATAACATTCCTCTGAACATACTATGTAAGTCATAGAAAAATAAAAAGAGAAGGTTTGAATAAATGGCGGGATTTGTTTCCTTGTTGGTAGTTGAACCGTAAGCGCTTAGCGCGCTGCTATCACTAAATTCAAACCGGTTTTACACCCACAAAAAAATATGTTTTCAAAAATAATGACAAAGAAATCAATAATTTTACTGATTTACCCCTTTAAATTTCACTTTGCTATAATGTGTGCTCAAATACAGGGATAATCGCTAATAAATTTAAAGTTAAAGATAAATTTAAATATTATTAGGTGGTGTAAATCTGGCTTTGAAAATAAATTAGGTTATGTTGCTATAAATATGTCAGCCTGATATTTTCATTTTCAAATGCAGGTGATATTTTTTTCAAATGTAGGTGAGTAAATTGTATTAATTAAGTGTAAGTTAGATTTAACTAATTTAACTATAGGCAGGTTCTTAAGAAAATCATTAACTTCTGATTCATTTAAATTTTAATTGCAGAAGTAAGTATTTTTCTCACAAAATTAACAAGAAAGTTTATGTTTTTCCTGCTATTATTACTCTAGAGATAAATGGATCCACATTTTAAACATTTGCGGTCAAAAAAATGAAAGGAGTTGTGAGCGAAATGTGTGAAGCCAATTTACAAACAAATATTGTAGAACCCGAGATAGAACCTCATCTTAGTTTTACTTATAAAGACCATGATGAAAAAAGGCGAATGATTTGTGCTCAAAAAGTTATTGTTCAATTTTTGGGTGATATTCATTATTATATTTATCAAATAATACCCAAATATGTTCAATAACTTATATGCTATTTAGGTCAACTTGTTAATTTTTGCATAGTTCACCTATTAAGATCATAAATCAGATGTTTTCTATTATTATTGAAATTTTAATACCTTTTATTGCAAGAAAAATGTAAGAATTTAAAAAGGTTATAACTCGTGTTTATTTTTAATTTTAAGATACACACTGCACCTTTATTTTTGTTTTGTTTTAGATATTCCCTGGTATGGAGATTTTTGGAATGTGCATAAATGTGTTTCTTAATTAGGGTGAGTTTCAAAGCCCACCTGTATTGAAGCTGGAGGCTTATTGTAACCGAAATAGGCATTACAACTATTCTAGATTGAAATAGATGGAAAAATGCCTTAAAGGGACAATAAGTATAAGCATATTAGAATTAGAATGATTTGTCCTTGGATTAATAAGGGATATTTAAAACATTAAAACAATTGTGTTTATAAATTAACTACTTTGACTTTTTATAAAAACTATATCGGGTTTTTTTAATAATAAAAACATTGTCATGTGCTATGCTGGTTATCATATTATATTTTTATTTTTCAGTAATTTAGTGTGTGATATAGTGCTTGTTATGTTCAAAATATGCAGTTAGAAGATAATGAGACACATGTAATTACATGGTAATTCTAAATAAATTAAACTTGTTAAAAATGTGTTTTATTTTTCAACTAATTTTATTTTTCAGTTAAAACAAGTGACATTTTCCATTTTTCAACATTTACCTACAACAAAAATTCACTAAACTTATTGTTTGTTTAGTAGTTGTAAGTAAAAGTTGTCAAATAGGAAAATGTTACTTTAAATTGCTTCAAATATCTAAATTATCAAACCCGCCAATTTTTAAATCGCTTTAATTAGTAGTGTTCTACTCTATCGACTGAAACTGACAGGTGTAGTTCAACCGTAAGCGCTTAGCGCGCTACTGTCGAGGTCAAGCAAACTTGTTACCAACTATTTACATGGAATCCGACCCCCGTGATGTAAGTATTCCAAATTGTGGCATTTCACTTGTGGTAGAGGCATTTAGAGTGGGCCAATATTTTTTTTCTGGTATTTTCAGTAGTACATGGATTTTAATAATGGGTTGCTGCATGGTATTACTACTTCAAGGTATGTTAGTTAATATATTGACAAATATAGGTACACTTCTTCAATGTCGCAAGAAGGTGTTATAATAGCGTATTTGGGAACATCAATTAAATAGTTAATTTCTTTTAAATTTATTAACAATTTTATAAAAAAAATATATAATTAACACTATTGACGTTGTTTTACCCACCGAGCATCCCTATATTCAATCCAAAAATTTCTCAAATACCACAAAACATTTCTTTATCCAAAATGTAAGGACTACAATTACCACTGCACCTTCGAAATAAACAGTTATTAGGCATACCAAACTAAAAATTAAAAAAAGTAAACGATATTTCTACTCTAGGTATATACATTTATATATAGGTCAATTTCCAGGTGATGATATGCAGATCACTCTGTAGAATGCATCGGATCGTCAAAATTAGCACAGCTCTCAATATTAAAACAGACAACTGCTACAGAACAAAAGAAATACAAGACAAGATGAGTTTAAAATCCAAATAAAAAAAGACTAGAGAACCAATACCAGACGTGAGCTTGAAAAGGGGCAGCAATCTTTAAAGGGGCGTGGCCAGTTGATTTGTGGTCGCCATTTTGTCAAATCGTAGTGTTTTGTTAGAAGCTTTATCTGATTGGGTGCAATCTCAAATCTCCCACCTATATCACCGATCATTTTTCTCGCGCCAGAAAAATCTTATTTTTTTACAAAATACAGCAAAGATACATGCAGGAATCTTAATAAGATACACAAAATCTAACCTATATTCCTCTCCAACCTCTACATATCATCGGTAGTAATTACACCCACAAACATAACTAAATTTTGAGGTTACATTCTAATATATAAACTAATTTAACTTGTTTGAGTAGTCCAACAATTTAACTACCAAAACAGCAGATATTATATTTTAATACAACTCTAAACAATACGGAATTAAAACGTCTCCTAATATCGACCCGCCTTACTAACTGTCACGCCCCCTTACAAAGCCTACACCAATCACCCTTCAGCTTTTACCGATTCTGCACGAACGCAGACGAAACCGGTTGCTAGGGGATACCGATGTATGCTTGGATCCCAACATTTAGTATGTCCGTGGTGTTTGACGTGTTGATATCGAGGCATACTGCGATTATTTTGTTTTTATGTTGATAATGACCGATTAAAAGGGGATGAGTGATGTGCAGATTGATTTTTTTTGACTGTGAACTGTGATAGTGGTAGCTTTTTTGGATGAACTCATTTGGATTTAATAAAAAAATTGGTAAATAGGTTTTTTTTTGTTACAAATTTAAACAAAGATTGATTAGATAAGATTAAATGGATACCGTTGATCTAGATAAAAAACAGATTATCATCAATAATAAATATATATAGATATGTAGTACGAGGATTCGATCATGATTATTTTTGGGGGATTTTCTAAATAAGTGTAGGTAAACTCAAACAGAAGTGTTTCTATTTTCACCACTTGTTGAAATATATACAAATGTTGTTTAATAATTTAAATGTTGATAATTTTAAATATTCATTTAAATTAATCAAAATAACTTAGAAAGTAAAACTTACCCGAAGCATAATAGAAAAGGTATACCCTCAACGATCTGAAACAAAAAAAGTAGTTAATTTTTTAAATATTTTGTTGAAGCAGTTGATTATTTTATAAGACAACATTATGATCCTAAATTTCAAAATAGATGTACCCAATACGAAGCTAGATAGGTATAGCTTAAAATTAAAACTTATTTACAAAATGAAAGTGATGAAGAATCTATAACAATGTTTTTATTTTCTTTTCAAAATAATTTAAACTGTTAAACGAAGAAAACTTAACTATCGAAAATGTATAATTTACCAAAACTTTAGAAATATATTTGTATGAGATAAATATATAGAAAGACAACCGAATTTTTTTTTAATTTTTTTTTTAATCACAATTTCTAATTAGATAAAACTGTACAATTTAGATTAAATATAAATAGAAATAAAAAATGACAAATATGTGATTTTTAAAAAAATAAATGATTATCAGGAAATATCAGCAGATAATTAATCAAACAATCAACAATATTATTGTCACCTTCAAAACATTTAAATAAATATTGGCAAACATTCCAATAAATAACGAATTAAATAATAATTAAAAATATCCATAAAACCTAACATAATGAATTTGTAGGTTTAAGCTCACAACGATTTGTCAACTTTCTCGAATTCTCGAATTGACTGATTACATACAAGTCTAATCAGCATTTAATTTGAATTTATTAAGATCCAAGATGGCTTTTACTCGTTATAAAATTTACAACAAAAAAACGGAAACTCGTTTCTGTCTTCTGTCTGAAATGATTATAATTTATATATTCCAACGTTGGATGATGTAATTTTACGTATCATTGAACCTTGATGCATATATTAAAAGCTATAATCATTTTTCGATATTGTATTGTACGGAAAAGTCGAGTTGATGTTTAATACAGGTGGATTTGTATTATTTATAGAACTTTAATTTATTCCGCCAAGTACATAATATTAGAATTGTAGTACGCGTGGGTTGCTGTTCTTACTAAGTATTGATATCTTTTTTAATTCCTATTGGATTTTAAGGATTTTATGAGTTCAGACAGGATCATTTTTTGTTCTCTTTAATTTCCAATATATTTGGTAAAACATTCTGTGATTACAGACTAATTATGATAAAAAAATTTATTTATTTATTTATTCAAAAATAAGTTCAAAATATTGTATAGGCAGTAGTGGAATATTTAGGCATATAAAATTGTCATTAAATTTGTTAATTATTACCCAAATAAATTTGTATATATTGGGATATTTTGATGATGGATACTATTTTTCTAAAATGTCATTTAATTTGAAATACATTGACATTTTTAAAAAAGTTTTTTTTAATTCTGAAATTAGGATATTTTAGAATATTTGGAATTTAAATCATTTTAGTGCAATTAAATAAGTATTATAGCCATTTATTTCATTCATAAATAAAAAATATATATTTAGTTTGGGTTGCATCAAAAGTTGGTGACCAATACTTGCAAAAAGTAGATACAACCACCAAAATTTTAAACAACAAAAAGTTTTAAATAAAATTTACTCAATTATAGATATAATTAAATAAGTGGGAAACACTTTTTTTTAATATACCAATACAAAAAAATATTTTGCGTTTTGAATGGACCATAACAAAGTATCGTAGGAACAATAATATAATTAATAATGCTATATTTATACAAGAAAATTGTGATTAAAAAACCATTACTAAAAAATATTCCCGCGAAAAAGCACCACCCTATGGAATAACTAAACATTGTTATAACGTTGCCATTTTTTTAAACTGTGTAGGTACAGTCTGTTCGCTATACTTACGCGGGTTTCGGATTAAAAATTTAATGAGTATTTCCAGGTAAGTACCCGAAAGTTTGACCTGTTCTTTGGGGAAATATCAACTGGTTAAATAAAATGAAAAATAATGTACAACTTTTTAATTAAATAATAATCTAGTCTAATGTGGCTATTGTAAACCTAATAATAATTTTATATTACACTTCACACAGAAAATATGATCTATGTATAATAAGAGGGTTATTTAGCACAAATAAAATAATTTCTAACATAAAAATTTGTTCCATGTAGAGAATTTCAAATGAAAAATAAAAAAATTGAACTTGCCAACAAAAATTAAAATCAGTCATTATCATCCAAAATATCATCATCATTAATTGTTATTATGACTGGACTTATTTCGTTTATTTTATTTTCACGAGTCCACCAATCTTCTATTAGTTTCTCGCACTTGAATATACAGTTCCGCCACACTTCTGGAGTTGCAATTGTAAGTGCTTTTCGCAAAGTTTCCCGAACCATTCTTTAATTTTATCAACAGTCCAAGAATTAGTTGGACTTTTGTTTAATACTTCAGAATGGTAAAGCGCATTGTCTAAAATAATTACGCTGAGCTCACTTAAACCTGGGAGAAGTTTTTCACGCAACCATTTTACAAACATTTCTGTATTCATATTATCGTGATAGTCCCTTCTCCATCGGTATGTTTGATGGACTTTACGCTATCATCTTGCCATATTCTCTTGGTTACACCCCTAGAAAATATCCATGTTTCGTCTAAATATATAAAATTCGCCCCTTCTTCTTTAAATTTAGAATATTTTCTTAGAAAGTTAATTCTCTTGTGCACGACATAACTTCTTTCACAAAGGGCTTTTCTGTTATCCTCTTTTTGAAATTTGAAACCCAAGTTATGTATCACTTGCCATAGACTTGTTCTGCCAATGTCGTCAAATTTTCTATCTATTAATTCCGAGAGAATTGTATTTAAGGTCACATTTTCCTTGTTGGCCCTCATTCGATAAATGGTATCACGAATTTCAAATTTCTTTCCATCTGGAATATCTTTCGTTTTCAATGATGGGCGAGTTTTGCGGTGATCTTCTTTCGGCAGTTCACTATTGTGATTTTGTAACACTCCTCTTAATTTGGTTTTACTAATTCCTAGAGCATCGCATACGCGTTGTTGTACAGACATTACCGATTTTAAAGGACCACCATTTTCTTTTTCATCCGTAAAATACTTATTTACACTACAAATTAGACTATCTACATCTAACACAGGTCTAGGCATTTTTAAAATTTCCACTAAATTTACAATATACATACAATGTCAACACTTACAAAGAATCAATTCAACTGCAATATTTGTAACAAATTTAGTACCTACCCTAATGTTATTTTAATTTAAATCTGACCATTAAGGCAATTTTACCTAATTTCTTGGGAAGAGGCTTATTGGAACTAGTTGTCAATGACTAATTTGCATAATTTTGTTAATCCGAAACCCGCGTAAATATAGCGAACAGACTGTACAAGAAAAATGTGAATAAAAACCATTATTGAACAATATTCCCGCGAAAAAGCACCTTATGGAATAACATATTGTTACAAGGTTGCCAATTTTTTTAACCGAAAATATTTTGAAAACATTTGTTTTCTTCTCGTAATGCATAGAAAGTTTCAGGGCTTTTATTTTTGTTCTAGTTGTCTTGTCTTTTGTGTACGTTTTTAAATATGCCGAATCTGCTTTTACAAATTCAGGATAATTATAAAAGATTAAAAAATAAAAATATAAACAAAATTGGATAGATTAATTTCAAATTCAAACTGACATATTGTATATAAAATTTCTGTCTTTTGGTTTTGTAGGAAATATTTTTAAACTTTGTAAAAAATGTTAAAATTTAAAATGGATTAATATTTTTTTTGTTATAGTCCATTATCCCTAAAGAGCTAGTTTTAAGAATATATCGAAAATAATTTGTGCGTATCTTATTTTTTAAACATAATTTAATAATATAAAAATAAAAATCACCGTCAACTCAGTTTTCGTTTGAAGATACATGAAAGTGTTAAGGGTTTTTTAAAATTGAGAAAATATTAAAAAAGGCATGGTGATGAAAGTTGATAATTAAAAAAAAAGCAGAAAATGAAAGGATACAGTGAAATGTCGATTCAATTCAATGTTGTCTTATCAGATACAAATCATCAGCAAGTTCATTGAAATATTTAAATAAACTTTGTGATTACTTATGTATTTTTTATTGTATTAATAATTATTTATTTAATTAATTTTAATGAGATTTAAGATAGGTATTTACTATTCGAATAAAAATTTTAAATTCATTTAGATTCCCTATATCATTATTGCGTTGTAAACCATAGAATACTTGATTTAAAATAAAAAACTATTCAGCATTTTTAACTCATTACAAATTAATTATATATCAATCCTCCATTTCACAGAAGTTATGAAACGGTATACTTATTTCCTTATCATTTTATACAAATATGTCTAATCAATTGATAAAATCCGTCAAGATTCATAATATATCAAAGATCAAATATTGACAGACCACTTCAACAAACAAAAATAAAATCTCTGCAAAAAATCCGATAAGTATATTTTCAACCGATAACGAGATTTTGATAAGATTTTCTATTTTTCGTTTCCAGATCAAGTTACCAACAGCGCCCGTCGCATCGTAACAATCGCTATCGAAACAATTGCTTGCTTCACAACCAGCCTACTATGACCAAAGAAACTAATCGCGTCACCGAGTGATTTTTATACGTCAGTTACGCACAAAATTTATTTGGATATTTCGACTATTTCGCGAGTGTGAGTGTTTGAAATAACTCAGTTATCCATGATTATGGAGATGACAAACGAATTGGCCGTGGGCAGGTGGTACGAGTCCCCCAGAACAGGGACGTCGGCTAGTCCGGGACAAGGGCTAGACGGCGGTAATTCCGATATTGCTTCTGGCGTCGAGCACATGGGTACCTTCTTCTTGGACCCTTCAGGCACGCAAAGGGCGGCTAGGTACTACCATCAGACAATGCACGGATCTTACGGAAGTCATGGTAAGTTTTTCTGTTTCTATTTTTTAAATACCAAAGCGATTATATATAAAAAATGTATGAATAATGAATATTTTACAAAAATTCCAACTGCAGTAGTATATCAAATGTTATGACTTTTGATAATAATCTTTTAAATAATTCACAAGACATTGTCAATGCATTTGCTACATATTTTCAGTCATCGTACACTAATTCGTCTAAAATTGATATGTCTAAACTAGATAATGTTGTTAATATTAACAGTTGTAACATTCCGCTACTTACAGAAGAAGATGTCATGAAAGGTCATAAAAGATTGAAACCTAAAAATACTAGAGGGCCAGATGATATTCCGGCATTTTTAATAAGAAATTTTGCAAATATTTTAGCCAAACCTTTAACCATGGTCTTCAATATGTCCTTACAAGAAGGCAATTTTCCAAGTAATTGGAAGATATCTAAAATCTGTCCAATCTTTAAGAAAGGATCCAAATCTATCATAGAAAACTACAGACCTATATCCATCCTTAGCAATTTTGGAAAAGTTTTCGAAAATGCACAGCACGGCTCTTTTCCACAGAGACCAATCTGATATGCTTTACACCTTATGTTGCGGAAAACCTTGATAGGGGTGGCCAGGTTGAAGCCTTATATACTGACTTTTCCAAGGCCTTTGATCGCCTCGATCATAGTATACTTTTGAACAAGCTTTGCATTGTTGGACTCACTACGTCTTTTCTACGTTTCTTTGAATCATATTTAAGTAATCGTAAATTGAAAGTTGAATACCATGGTTTTCAGTCAATTTGTATAGAAGCTTCTTCCGGTGTCCCTCAAGGTTCAGTTCTAGGACCACTTTAATTTTCCATTTTTGTAAATGACATTACTGAAAATCTATCATGTAATACTCTACTCCATGCCGATGATTTAAAATTGTTTAAATGAATCTCCAGTATTGATGACTGTTTGATTATGCAGGAGAACCTAAATAAATTAAACCTTTGGTGTAATTCAAACAACTTACCACTAAACATATTTAAAGTGCAATTCTATCAGCTTCACTCGCAAACTAAATCCAAATGAGTATAATTTCACTGTCCATAATATTACCATCAATAAATGTATTTTTTTAGAGATCTTGGTGTTCTTTTCGACGCTAAGTTAAACTTTATTGAACATGTCAATACTATTCAAACCGAAGCATACAGAAATTTAGGTTTTGTCATTCGAAATGGACGCCAGTTCTCTGAGCCTAACACTTTAAAAACTATTTTTAACGCTTTTGTACGTAGTAAGCTAGAATATGCGTCCTAGATATGAAGTACATAGCCAGGCATTAGAAAAATTAGCGAAAATTTGTCAAATATTTGTGGTGCAAGCTAGATGGCGTCTACCCTACTCGCAATATTCCGCAAACCATCTTGATATAGATTTGATATCCTTGAATTACGTACTCGCAGGAAATGTTATTCCATCTACATTCTTTACAAATTATTAAATTTTAAAATTGACTGTCCCGAACTACTTCGTCAACTAATGTTTAATGTTCATAGTATCAGAACTCGCTCCCCTTTGTATTTCTATTTTCAGACACCCAGGATAAATATTTTAAAATTTTCTCCAATGTATTTTAAGTATCAAAATTTTTGTGAACTTCAAAATGATGTTGATTTATTTTCTATTTCAATTAAAGAAATAAAACGCTTAATTGTGGACTGAGTTAATTACCATAAGACAACGTAATTTTTTCTCCTAACGGAGTTTTTTCTGCGTTTTCTTATGATGGTTAAAAACGTTTATTATTTTTTGTTAATATATATTTATGCTTTTATTAATATATAATATTTTGTTATTATTTTTATGATGTAAATTATACTGTAATTATTTTTGTGCCCATCTTGTAATTGGTTTTATACTGTTGGATGGTGTAACCCAAATAAATAAATAAATAAATAAACCAAATAAATATAATTGAAATTGGATAGTGCGTACTACATTAGTTGCCAAAAATGCTTCTAGTGGGGCCATAAGCCGTTGTTCGCCTCTATAGATCCATATTTTGGGTGGATCAGTCTTAGTCTCTATGATAAATACTGTTCACAATATCCCTTCATTTTCCTATATCCTGTACTTTTTTCCAATTATTCGCTCCTAGACATGTAGACCTTCTTTCACATTCTCCAGCCATCCTGGTGTGGGTCTTCCACGTCTTCGTCCTGGGTGCATTCTATAATTAAAGTAACCAATTTTCCATTTTCTGTTCTCCAAACCATCTGCATCTGGATTGCTATATTTTCCTTATTATGTCTTCTTTTAGCTTTTGTTCAATTTCTCCATTTATTCTAATGATGTATTCTTCTTTTTCAATTTTAATTAATTGGTACAGTAATGTAATTATAAAAAAACATGTTTAATGCCAGTCGCTGGAATCTCTTCAGTTAGATGTAGGTGATTAAAGCTGAGATGACCATTGATTTTAAGCAACTTCTACGGCACAGGCATCCGCAGTTCCTGTTACATTAAATGTAGGAATATGTACTGGAGCCACAACAGCTGCATAATCAGTAGTGTAAACGGTAGTCCAGACTATGTCCCGGCTTTAAAATGGAGCAAAAATTTATGTAGGTTTTACAATAGCAACAACAGCTTCTACTGCTGCTTGTTCCTCTTTTTAGGCTTCCTCAGGTTCGCGGCAAAAGAAGAGATCAACTACTATATCTTATTTAGGGCCACGGGGATGATTCCTCTTAGACATATGACTTCTCTTGCAAAAAGCTACCAGAGCAACCCAACGCTGTGTGATGATTTATCTACTAAAATAAGTGGAGACTCAGTACTAGATGCGAGACGATAACTGGAATATTGAAATAAGATGCTTGTATAGACTGGTAATCAAAAGAAAGGTAGCTAACAATCGAAAGACCAGGTTCTGTAAAGGCGGCTTGTTTCTGATTAGTATAAGCAACAGGAGTGAATATTCCTACAATTAAAGTTGCGCCAATGTGTGCTGCAAACTTAAAAGCAGATCTCTGTCGATATGGACGAGATAAAATAAAAAATACTTCACCTGGAAGCTCAATTGATGTTCAATTGATCCTAATATTGCTCGCATAAGTTTTCCTGTCATAATTCTTAGATCTTCTTTCTTTTTTTTATTGTTTTTCTGTATGGATGAGATAAAATAACAAATACTTCACCTGAAAGTTCAATTGATGTTTAATTGATCCTAATATTGCTCGGACAAGTTTTCTTTCCATAAATCTTAGATCTTCTTCCTCTTTTTTTATTGTTTTTGCTGCAGACAATAAAATATTATGTATTGCAGATCATTATTTTCATGTTCTTTGTGAATAATTTGCTTTCAAATTATTTTTTGTATAGGTACATGGAAGGTTTTAATTGTAATTAGTATTTTTTCTGTTACTCCAAGTTTCTTTTCTGCAGTTTTAGCTATTGTGATTCCCAAATATTTAAATTTTTTCTCTTCTTCGAATTTATTTGATGCTGTTTTATTATAACTTATTTAATCATTTTTGTTTATTATTAAAACGAATTTTGATATTTTTGAAAAACTACGAAAAAATAATATTGATTTGGATGAAGCAAACAAATTTTGCTAGCTGTATAAATATATATAGGGTGGTCCTTAAGTAAATGTACATAGAAGTATGGTAGATTCCTCACTTTAAAATATTACGATTTAAACCTACTTGCTTTAATAAAATGTTGCTAATAAGGAATATACAGGGTGTTAAAGGTTAAATTTTAAGATTTCTTTTTTGCAATAACTTTAAAGTTTTTGGATCTGTATACATAAAAATTTGGGCACGAAAAATCATAATCTGGTACCTACAACATCATTGGATCTATTTATTTTTTCCCAAAGTAATAATTATTATGGTTGCTATTTACTGTCAGCAAAATTTTAATGGGCGTACTGCGAAACGAGAATATTTGAGAAGATATCCAAACAGGCAGCTACCTAATCATCAAAAACCATAAAGGAAAATAAATTCTTTGCAAATAAAACAAAAGAAAATAAACAATTCAATTCTAAAGTATCTTTATAAATAATCATGGCAGTCTGAATCCTCTGAACTAGAGTCATCATTTGGTTGAATTATGATGGGTTGTAAAGAGGGTAATACTACATATTCATCTTCTTCTTTGATAACATGTTCAACACAGTTTTTCCAAAGCTCTTGGCGGTCTGCTGCTAGAACTTTCTTTACGAGTTCTACAACTTCTTCACTCAGTTCTGGAGACTGATTACATTTTCGTAATTCTGATTTTAAGTTTGCCAATATTAACTCTATAGGGTTAAATATGCAATAGTAAGGAGGTAGTCTGAGAAGAGTTTGCATAGCTTGTCAATATAATACATTTTTTCTAACTTTATACCTTTAATAATAGTAAGCAATTCTTTGTTTGTTGGTCCTTTTTTACTATCACTAGCAGGAATAGGAATATTTTTTTCAGACATAAAAGCTAAAATTTGAGCTTTTTTACTGCTACTATTTGGTATTTTAAGGAGTTGCCGCGAGTGGTAGGATGCGTTGTTCATAACGATTACTGACTGTAGTGGAATGTAAGGTAAAAGCTGTTCATTAAACCGTTTTTCAAATAATTCTGCTGTCATATCTTCATGATAATCAGCTGCACAGTTTTTAATTTGTTTAGCAGATAATAATAAAGCATTAGGCACGAAACCGTCTTTGCTTCCAGCGTGTACTATTATAATGCGTTTCCCTTTAGAACATGGCCCATTCAAACAGCAATTTTTACTTCTGCCAACCCAACCGAAATTTACTACATCGTGACTGTCAAACCATGTTTCATCTAGATAAATTATGTGTCTATTAGAACTTCTGTAGCCTTTTATCTGACGCAAATAATCTTGTCGCCATTGAACTATCTTTGACGATTCGGTGATTGCCATCTGTTTATTCAATTTTTTGTGTTTAAAACCACATGCTGACACAACTTGACGCAATGTTTCCAAACTGGTATAAGTGTATCCT